TGTATATGTATGTATATATATATATATGTATGTATATATGTATATGTATGTATATATATATATGTATATATATATGTATATGTATGTATATATATATATGTATATATATATATGTATATATATATATATGTATATACCAAACACAAAAGTATCACATATATACCAAACACACGAAAATCAAAATGAACACAAGATGTAGCCAGGCCAAACAATTGGTGCTTCAATGACAACGGACCACTGAACAGAGCCGAATGCAAGACACTTTGTACAAAATCAGGATTCAAGATCAAACTTCATAACAAAAATAAGCATCTCAAAACAAAACCAGAAGTACAAAGGACTATGATGAATTCATTCAATTGGTAGGCAAAGCAAAAAAAAAAGTTCTTGAATTATCAAAAGACTACATAAAGATAATAATAAAGAAAACCAAATTATGGTCATGTGGAAAAATAAGGGTTGAAACAGCTCAAAAGTTTGAAGAGTAAAATGAACTCAACTTTCTGGTTCAAATGGTAGGATGCATCACTCAATATTAATAAGTGATCGTTACCAACTGCAGTTCATTAGATGTACACGACAACAAGAAGTTCAATCAGATACTAAACAAGTTGATGAACACACGGACAAGCTCGAAAAGTGCAATGTTTTAAGCAGATCTTACATATCGTGGTACCCTATAGCGAGTGGTAGTTGTGTTCATCCAGAAATACTAAAAGAGGATATGTTAACTATTTACCGAACATACTGAATGTTAGAAGCTCCCTGGCTACAAAATAAAAGATGAAGAATGTGCTGATCCACAGTTATCCACGATCAAGAGGCTCATTCAGAAGGGCTGTTGTACCGAAGATGTTGCTCATAGAAGTTGATCAACTGTAAGTATCAATAAATTAATATAATTCAGCACTCGAACCATATGCTGTTTCTTGATTCTATATTTCTTTTTTCTTTTTTTGGGGGGTGGGGGAAAGAACAAGGAGAGAAGTTCACCAGAATTGGATTGTTTTCCTTGAGATATTTGTTATCAACAACGACCTCTTCTCCATCTGACCTGCTTATAACCAACCAAACAAGGTTAATATCAACATGCTTTCACATTGGCCAATACCTTGATGTGTTCAGTGAGTCAATGGTTAAAAAAGCCCTTATGAAACCAAGCATAGATCAGTTCATAAATATCATCAAGCCATCTATAGAAAAACAAGAAGAAAGAGAGAAGTACAAGTCCACAAACCTCCTGACCAAGAAGGATACAGACACCTCCTCTGTGTCATTAAGTATAGATGTTGAATAATTCACAGGCTTGATAATCTTTGAAATAGTAGAGATGCTTCGCGGAGCATCCACGATGTTCATGCAGTCCAAATCATTTATATTCTTAATCTCAGCATCTACAACTACAACACTACCACGGGTTGTGTTTCCGCTGGCATCATTTCTGAGAACTGAGTCTGGTTCTTGCTTGAACCGCTTAACAGCACCACACTTCCTCCTCCTAGCTCCAATGCGAGGACTAGCCCTAAGAGGTTCTGCTCCATCAGCCTTCAAGATCCCATTTGCAGGTCCAATTTCTACCCCACTATCACCTTCGGTTGGTCGGTCTTCTTGAATATGGATGGCAAATTCGCTCATGCTTTCTTGATTGCTAGAAGATGCAACTTTAAGTTCATTAAGATTTGCATCCAACTTGTTTCTTGCTTTCCTTTCTCCAATTTGTGGAGAAACCATTAAAGATCTGGTATCATTTGAGTGGTTTGCTGCTCCATTATTGCTCGTGCCCCCAACATTGTTTTCTGTCCCATCACAAAAGTTGGAATTATGGACAGAAGGAAATGATAGAGGTTCCTCTATGATTGTGATTTTCACAGATGGCACATCATATGTAGCAGCAGGAGAACTCTCTTGTGACTGTTGCTTTTGCTTCTTCTTCGATTGTGGTGTAGGAGTCACCGAATGCTTGCGCCTACGTTTCCGGTTTGATCTTTGTTTCCCAGACCTCGTGCTTCAAGTTTCATAAACAAGAAGAAAGCATCAGTAACCATTTCTCATGATCTCAGCCACAATAATTTAGGGCTTGTTTGGGATATGCTTACAATTAAGCATATATATTCGATGCTATAAAATTGTCAAGGTCAATTTTAAGTATTGCTTGTCTTTATTAACAAAAGAATGTTGTTTATAAGTAGATTTATCTTAAAGATAGATATATATATATATATATAACTTATATTTGGTGCTTATATACATGAATGACTTTGTGAAATCCGAAACCAGCCCTTCATATAATTCAATACAAAAGGAAATACAGACTAATAAAAGGAAGACCTCTCTTCAAATGCATCAATGAAATCTGAACATGACACGAGATTCTCGACAGGTTCCCAAGTATTAGCTGCCTCCGGCCAACCACGCCTTCATTAGAGCATAAGCATATGTTTTAATCAATTGAAGCATAGTGATAATCCAAATATCCCAATTCATATTAAATTGGACGATGAATGGCTATGAGAAAAATTCATTTGACTTTGATATAGTGTTTAGAAAATCACAATTTTGGAAAAGAATCAATTTTGCTCAAGACTGTTAGACAACTCCAACCACAAGGCTTTAAATTAGGATTGGAGCAAAAAATCAATTTTGAATTTGAACCAACAGATGTAAGATTGATTTCATATCCCATCGACCCTCAGGTGCTGTTCTGGGAACCCTGGTTATGGAGCCTAGGAAATGAAATTTAGCAAACATGGTTCAAATCCAAAATTTCAACAAAACTAATTCCATTGACGATTACAAACTCCAAAAGCACTGTCAGTGATCAAATCAACACTAACATCGTGTTCTTGTCAAATTATAAAGCACACTATCGAACCCCCAAAAATAACACATGTTTAACAAATATAATCATGTGTAAATTACAACCGATATAACCAGGGCACGCACCATTTGATGAGATACTGAGTTTCCCCCTGTTTTCCCCAAGCAAACCACCACGATGCCGATGAAAGAATACAAATTCACAGACAACAAAACCGCCAACAAGATCAGGGTAAATGTAACCATAAAATGAAGAAAAATAATATACGAACAAAGCAATCAAAACACGGAGAAAAAACAATAATAAACCTTCCGTATCCTTTTCCTCCGAACGGCTTCAATCTCGTAGAAACCCTCTGCTAGCTTAGGTCGCTCTTCATCGCCATTGTGTTCACCTTCATCCGCTCCTCCGTGAATATCCCCGTCACCCGATTGATCATCCTCCTCGCAATCTTCGCCCTCCTCTTCATCGTACTGATTTCCACCATCTTCACCGTCATTCAGCAGCTGCTGATGCTCTTGTTCGCGCATCCGCTCGTCGTACTCTACCTGATCGTTCCCTTGATCATTGATCGCGCTTTGAAACGAATGCTGTTGTGGTGATGGAAGCTCGGAGCTTATCGTCTTCCTTCTAGCCCCACCTTTCATCGGATTTGTACGAATCGATTTGGAGAAGGGTTTAGCGTTTCTTCCGACAGCCCCACTGCAATTCCCCCCTTTACTCTTTTTTTTCCCTCCCTGTCTCCATCTGCCTTTAATCGTCTGGAAGTTGGGTTGCATTAGGAATTTGGGCTACAGATTACAGCTTTTCAATTTTGGGCCCAATTTTGAAGCCCAACTAACAAACAGTATTTGCTAATAAATTACGCTTTTTTTCGGTTTGTTAAAAATTACTCTTTTCGTTGCTGTATTTTAGATTTTACAATTGAAATTCTTTGCTACTTTGGTTAGGACGGTAATGGGGTGGGGTGGGGTGGGGTGGCGACTGTGACG